AGGATCATTACCATAAGAAGAAATCTGAAGGAAGAATCTATAGAATTTGGTTAGTAATGACTTAACTATTCCTGAAAAATAAAGGGAATTAGAAGTGGGAACATGATGCATCGGATGTGTGAAATTCTGAGTCTGAAATGTTAAGTAGCATATGAATTTACAGAAATATCTAAAAGCAATTACAACTGTAGTGATAAAGATTGTTTCAAGTTTGGGTCTCTAGTCAGACTGCCTCGGTTTGAACCTAGTAACTCTACTACTTACTAGCTGTAGGACCTTGTAGGAGTTGCATTAATCTCTATGGCCTTTATTTTTCTCATCAGTAAAATAGGAATATTAAAGTAAATAGATTGTTATAAGAATTAAATGAGAAAATACATGTAAAGCACTTAGAACAGAAATTGTGGATATCTTAGAATGAGTATTTTATATTTTTTCGTTTCATTTTTAGTGCAGCTCAGATTAGAAATGGTGATTTTGGAGTTATCTATAAAAAGACAGTAAAGGGGCACCTGGTTGGCTCAGTCAGTTAGGTACCTGACTTTGGCTCAGGTCATGTGATCTCATGGTTCATGAGTTCCAGCCACAGGTTGGGCTCTGTGCTGACAGCTCAGAGCCTGGAGCCTGCTTCAGATTCTGTCTCCCTCTCTCTCTGCCCCTCCCCGACTTGCACTCTGTGTCTCTCTCAAAAATAAACATTTAAAAAATTATATTAAAAAAGACAGTTAAGCAGTGATAACTGATAAGACCTTAAAAAAAGAAAGCAGAAAGGTGGTAAAATTTGGAGGTTTCAGGAAGGTGAATCAAATTTGGACCAGGCTCTTGGTACTATGCTATGGATTCACCAAGATATGAATGATAGGTTAATGAGAAATGTATTCTTTATATAATAGACATTTAAATAACATAATTAAAAGAAATTTAAAAGAACTTCAGAGGTTATTTAGTTCAACTTTCTATTTTGATTCAAAAGGGATGGAGACTTCCATAAAATGAGAGACCAATAGGAGCTTATAAAAAAAGCCTTATTGGGACACCTGGATGGCTGAGTTGGTTGAGCATCTGACTGGCTCAGGTCGTGATCTCATGGTTCATGAGTTTGAGCCCCACGTCGAGCTCTGTGCTGACAGCTCAGAGCCTGGAGCCTGCTTTGGATTCTGTGTCTCCCTCTCTCTCTGCTCCTTCTCTAACACTCTGTCTCTCTCAAAAATAAATAAAGATTTAAAAAAGTTTTTTAAAAAGCCTTATCATAACTGAGGGTATAAAACAATAATTATATAGAAAATATATTCGACAGAGTTAAAGTGAAAAATTCCATCACTCAACAGTACTATAAAAGGACTCAGAGTATTGTTTACCCTCATCTGTTACAAAGTAATCCACTAGATACATTAGCAATAGATTTCATGTGCTTATTAGACAGTTTTCATTAATATGTGACTGATTATGGGGCGCCTGGGTGGCTTACTTGGTTAGTGTCAGATTTGGCTCAGATCATTATCTCATGGTTCATGAGTTTGAGCCCCATGTCGAGCTCTGTGCTGACAGCTCAGAGCCTGGAGCCTGCTTCAGATTCTGTGTCTCCCTCTTTCTCTGCCCTTCCCCTGCTCATGCTCTCTCTCTCTCTCTCTCTCTCTAAAATAAATAAACATTTAAAATTTTTTTTTAAAAAATGTGACTGATCAGTATGAAATTGGTAATAGTAGACCATTTTTTACCTACAAAATCAGCAGTTTCATATGGTTCAACCTAATAAAAGGAACTCAAGTTTACCAATGTGATCTAACTCATCCCTGAAGAAAGTGCTTTGTGGGCAAATGATCTGCCTAACCAAGAACACATCTCAAGTCAGGAAAGTAGGCTGACTAGCAAATTGGCCTGGAGAAAAAATCAGTTCTGAACTGCTTTTTTGCTACAACAGCAGAGATAAGTAGATCCACCAGACTACATGGCCCACAAAGCCATAATTACTGACAATATGACATTTTACACAAAAATTTTGCAGACCTCTGATCTAGACCATGATTCTCAAAGTACAGTCTGAAGAATCATAAGTTTCTTAAGCTTTACAGTTTATAATAATATCTATTCCTTGTTCATATGTACATACATATACATATATATACACATTATATATATCATATATAATTTTTACAGATACTGCTTTGAGTAATCTTTCATCAATTGTCCATTAACTTGGGAATGGTTTTTAGCTCTAGCCAACCAATGAGTAGACTCTTTGTCCCCTTTCATGTATGAAGATAAACTGAAGCCCACTAAGATTATTAGGACTACTGATATGAAAGACAAACTATCAAGTCACTGATTGAGAATCTGCCTCTGAAACAGCTCTAAAGTATATATGTTATAAAGTACCAGCTTTAATATTTGACTAGAAGTGCATGAAGGTTATAAACATGAATTCTTTCAGACACATAAATTTAACTGTTATTTAGTCAAACGTGGTTTGGTTACTGAGAAACTAGAAGCATTACAGGACTACAGTAGTTGAAATTAACAAATACAATGGACACAAGAACTAGTGCAGAACTGAATTAGCTGAAATTTCCAAATAGTCCCAATAAGGAAGTCAGTTTAACACACGTATTAAACGCTGGCTTTGTTCTTGGTGCTACAACTTGGCTCTGCACTCATAACACCAATAAGAAATTAATATGAGAAAATTAAATTAAATTAAATACAGGGCATCTGGGTGGCTCATGTCAGTTAAGCATCTTACTTTAACTCAGGTCATGATCTTACGGTTCATGAGTTCAAGCCCCACTTCATAGGTGAGCCCTGCTTCTCTCCCTCTCTCTCTCCCTCTTCCCATCCTCGCTCACTTGTACCCTCTCTCTCAAAAAAAATAAATAAATACAGACCTCTGTTTATCTAAAACAGAAGGATGATGGCAATTACTTGCCACCATTAAATTACAGACCCAAAACTCCCATACTTAGCAGGTAGGTTGCACACAGAAAGGTTACCACCTTGACCAAATAATTCTTATAAAAGGACTAGAGCTTAATCATTTTTCTACAAGAGTTAAAAATTATATAAAAGGTAAACTCTTAGAAGAGGCTTAAGACACCTAGATGTTTCTGAAAATCTTAGTATCACTACATACTGAAGTAATTATACTTGTAGAGCCCTTGACAATTTTTAAAACTTTCACATTTTATCACCTTTGATCCTTATGATAACCCTGAGAGCTAGAAATGGTACATTTTTTTTAAAAAAAAATAGTTTATTGTAAAGTAATAACACCCAGTGCTCATCCCCACAATAGAAATGGTAGATTTTATTATTCTAGTTTAAGAGAGGAGATCACTGAGGCTCTGTGAAATGAACTTTCTCAAGGATATACATATAGTAAGAACATCTTGATACTTAGTACACATGCAGGTCTTTTCACACCACAAGTAGTGTTCTTTTCCATTTTGAAGGAAGAAAAAGTGCGATTAAAGTTGTCTCCTAATCTTACAGTGAGTTAATTATTTAGTTTCCTAATTTTCAGGTAACCTACTTCCAAAAACCTATAGGTCTCCAAGAATTAGCCAGGTACCAAAAAATGGTTGTTTGTATGAATGAAAACAAGAGAAACAAATCATTAACAAAATTGACAAGTTTATATTGCAAACTTCAGTCAAATTTCTAGTTACAACAAAATTTATTTTTATATAACCAGTCTATAATTTCAGGAGTCAGCATTAATTTTAGTCTGTAAAAAAGTCATTAAATAAAAAAAGACAAATTAGAGTTCATTTTTTCCCGAAAGTGATGCTTTAGGATTATTATCTACTTTTCAGACTTTCTGTTTAAGAATTTACTATAATAATGTAATTTACTTATACCACTTTAGTCATATCATTTAATAAAGAATGTATGAATAGCATTTAAAATAAATCATTGGAGGGCCTGGGTGGCTCAGTTGGTTAAGCGTCCAACTTTGGCTCAAGTCATGATCTCACATATTTTGAGTTTAAGCCTCACATCAGGCTCTCTGCTGTCAGCACAGAGCCCACTTTAGATCCTCTGTACCTCTCTCTCTGCCTCCCCCTCTAAAATGAATAAACATTTCAAAAATTAATAGGTTATTGGAAAATAAGACTTGAAAATGTCGATAAAATCATTAAGACCATTCAAACTATAAATAATATACTGAAGAAAAGGAAGTGAACTACAGAAGAAAATATATTTTTGAAAAGAAGAGCTGAAAAATTATATTTCAAATGCTTTTAATAAAGTATCAACACTAAATTCTTACGTTAAAATGGTATTAAAGCTAATCTCCTATGAAATTTAAGAATATTTCTAACTCTACTGCATATTTCAGGCCAACAGCTCTTCCAGTCCTCTGCTGTGCCCTAAGTTTTCAAATGCAGAGCCTCTCATACTATGAAAATGACATATGGGATATGACAAACAGGATAACATGCACAAAACTGCTTTGAAAAATATAAAGTTGTGGGGCGACTGGCTGGCTCAGTTGTTAGAGCATGCAACTCTTGATCTCTGGGTCGTGAGTTTAAGCCCCATATTGGGCACAGCACTTACTTAAAAAAAATAAAGTTGTATACAAGTATAAGACATTCTTTTAATTATTACAAATAGCCTGTAAATAAACAAAAAATATATAGGATGTAAATTTTTAAAACCCCAAACTCTTTTTATTTAACAGACATAATTTTAAAGCTCAACACTGAGAAAAACCTGGAAGAGGTTATGCAGATATTAAAATACAGGTGCACTGTATTATATAAAAATGCAGACTAATCACATGCACTTCCCTGCTTTCCCTTCCCTAACCTATTTACAGTAAAAGTATAAAACAAAAAGTAGCCAATTAACTTATAAGTATAAGAAGCAAAAATATAGTGACAAGAGCAGAGAAGAGACTACAACATATTTTTGGAGAGAAAGTAGTAACCTAAGCAACTAACAGAGGAATGTTAATGAGCAGTGAGTCAATTACCTGTCAGAATATCTGAAAGACTCACCATTTGGAAGTAGAAGGAGGATTCATTGAAGTCTATATACAGCTGGCTAGACCCTGAGGCCGTTTTCTAATATGTGTCATCCAATGGGAGCTGAAGAAATTGAACCAAGAAAGCTCTGGACTTGGGCTAGAAAACACAGCAGACGGCCTGAAAATAAAACAATTAAGTGAAAGTCTACACACAGAACTGTTGAATGTCAAGCTCTTTCCCATTCTTTGCTCACCAGTAGCAAACCTCTCTCTCCTTCTGTCTGTCTCTCTCTCTCTCTCTCTCTCTCTCTCTCACACACACACACACACACACACACACACACACCCCTTTCCATTCCTCAGAAAAGTCTGGGACATTCTTTTCTCTGGAAAGAATTAAAAGCTACAGAGAAAAGCAGTATACCATTTGGATATTCTAAAAGGATGGGTCTTTGCCTAATCACTCTAGAGCAAAATTTACCCGTTGTACATACAAATCTTCTGATAGCTTTGTTATTGTCTTCCTCTTAAATATAAATGGAAAACCAAAGGTCAACAGATATCTGAGGAAGCCTCCATCAAGAAAGACCTCTTAGGGCGCCTGGCTGGCTCAGTGGGTTTAGTGTCTGACTTTGGCTCAGGTCATGATCTCACGGCTTGTGAGTTCGAGCCCTGCATCGAGCTCTGTGCTGACAGCTCAGAACCTGAAGCCTGCTTCCGATTCTGTGTCTCCCTCTCTCTCAGTCCCTCCCCCACTCGCATTGTCTCTCTCTCTCAATCTCAAAAATAAAATTAAAAAATAAAATAAAATAAAAAACATTAAAATAAAAGACCTCTTACCTAAACCAACAAATATAAAAAAGAAAATAGCTAAAGGAAATTAAGACAATATAGGGAGGAAACAAATCAAAACATAACCCTCCAACAAAAATAAGAAAGGACCCCTGAGGAAAAAATAGGATAGCTGAAATTTTTAAAAATTTTAATAAAAGGTTTGAAAAGTAACTGAAAAACCCAAATCTCCATCCAAAAAGAGATTTACTCCAAAATGCATCATTGTGAACTTTCAGAAAACGGGGGGTAGGGGGGGAGATCCTGGAAGTTTTAAGTGGGTTATATACCAATCATTGAGAGTCAGAAAAAGAGCAGATTGCTCAAAAGTAGCAATACAATATAAAAGACAAAAATTGAACCCAGAAGAGCTATGAAGGGAAGGCTCAAGATGACAGCTGCATAGAACAAGCAGCTCAAATTTAAGCAGGAGGATTGGCTCTGGAAAAGAGACCCGTAGGAAGTATAACTGATATATTTCGGCATATTACTCATAGACATACAGCAGAAATGTTAGAGAAATTGGAATTCAGAAAATTAAGTAAATTAAAAAGTAAAGCCATTATTGGGGCACCTGGGTGGCTCAGTCAGTTAAGCATATGACTTCAGCTCAGCTCATGATCTCATGGTTCATGAGTTCTAAACCCATGTGGGGCTCTGTGCTGATAGCTCAGAGCCTGGAGCCTGCTTTGGATTCTGTGTCTCCCTCCCCTGCTTGCACTATCTCTCTCTCTCTCTCAAAAATAAACATTAAATAATTATAATAAAAACTAGTAATGCCATTATTAAGGTCCACATTTCTTAATTGGGTAGAGCCAATTTTATCAAAAGTCTTAGGTAAATATGTCTATTACAAAGACCTAAACTTTCCCTTAGTGGGCTATTCCACGTCTGGGCTGGAGAATAGATATATTAGAAGACCACCAATAACATACATTTCTTCCAACACTTTTCCCATCAATACAGCTGATATTTTATCTCCATTTGCCTAGCTCCTTTGACTACATCTGAATTGGTTCCAAACTCAGGAGGGAACAAAAAAAGACAAGAAGTGGAGGCCCCTGGGTGGTTCAGTCCCTTGGGCATCTGATTTCAACTCAGGTCATGATTTCACAATATGTTTGAGCCCCACACTGGGCTCTCTGCTGTCAGTGCAGAGCCCACTTTGCAGATCTTCTGCATCCCTCTGTTTCTGCCCCTCTCCCACTCTCTCTTCCTACCCCTCTCAAAAATAAATAAACATTAAAAAGGCGGGGGAAAGGCTGGATGGGGTGCCTGGGTGGCTCAGTGAATGGGCATCTGACTCTGGCTCAGGTCATGACCTCACAGTTTGTGGGTTTGAGCCGCAGGCTCTGTGCTGACAGCTCGGAGTCTGGATCCTGCTTCAGATTCTGTGTCTCCCTTTCTCTCTCTCTCTGCCCCTCTCCTGCTCGTACTCTGTCTCTCTCAAAAGAAATATAAACAAACATTAAAAAAAAATTTTTTTAAGGCAAGAAGTGGTATGTATTGGGCTCCCTAAAACCTACAGTTGCCATGACATCTTTTCTTTTTCTTTTTTTTTTTTACATTTTTTTATTACTTATTTATTTATTTATTATTTTTCTTTTCAAGAGCCAAAGCATGCCGGTAGAAAAACAAAACAGTGAGCTAGTGGCCAACTATGCACAGTAGACTAAAGGAGATCATCAGAGATATATCAGCATTGAGCTGTCTCTGGAATGAATGATTAACACATGCTGTGGGAACCTGCTTAGAGAGAACATATGACAACCATACAGCAAGCAGCCAATTAAAGAACAGATCACAACAATGTCAGTCTTCTATCTCAGCCTCTAAGGCAGCTATTCCAATGACTTATACCATTCTTGGGCAAAGAGCAGGCCAGAACACAACTGCCCTTTTCAACAATAGATAACATAAAAAAGTAGCACTTCAAGAAAAGGAGGAGGGACCAGAATGTGGAAAAGAGAAAAAAAAAAAATTTGAAGAACTACTTCATAAAATAGAATTTTAAAGAAAACTGCTTTGCATCAAATAAACAGAATATATCCGTTTAAAAAAAAACAGATTTTTAAAAGGAGTTGAAAAAAGCTGAAGATAAAAGGAAAAAAAAATCCACAGAACTTGAAATTATATTAGAAACAGCTCGGACTAGAATAGATAATTCAGAAAACCAAGTTAACTTGGATGGCAAGCCAGGGAAAATTGTTCAGAATAAATGTTACAAAATAAAGGTGGTTAGATTCTAACGAAGTAGAACAAAAATGATAGATTTGTAAGACAGACTACTGAGATCTAATAGAAGTAATACTCTTTCTTGGACAGAAAACAGATAACAGGAACAACCAAAATTTTCAAGGATATAGAGGTGAAAAACTGAAAGGTTTTATCATGTTCAGGAAAAATTAACAGGAATGATCAAGATTTAAGATACAGTATGGAATTTTGCCACATTTTAAGGATAAAGAAAGGATGCTATTAGCATCCAGAAGAATTAGGGTCAGCTACAAATTAAATAATTTATACTGGCCTCATACATCTCCTTAGCAACATGAAACAGTAGATAAAAGGGAGTACTGTGTACAACGCAGAGTGAAAAAGAATATGACATGGGATTTTCTACTTGGTGGAATATAATTTTAATGGATATTTAATATTCCACTTAATGGTTGTACTCTATTAATTTACTAACATGGTCTATTATTTTTTTAAAAAAAATTTTTTAATGTTTTATTTATTTCTAGGAGAGAGAGAGAGACAGCGTGAGCAAGGGAGGGTCAGAGAGAGAGGGAGTCACAGACTCTGAAACAGGCTCCAGGCTCTGAGCCGGCAGTCAGCACAGAACCCGACGCGGGGCTCAAACCCATGAACCGCGAGATCATGACCTAAGTGAAAGTCGGACGCTTAACCGACTAAGCCACCCAGGCGCCCCTAACATGGTCTATTATTGATAGATATTTAGACTGTTTCTGGAAATTATTTAAACCGTGCTGAATAAAAAAAAGAAAAAAAACATATGTATTATTTAAAATACATCCAAGTTTATCTATAAGATAAAGTCCTGGAAGTGTATTAGCTGAATCAAAGGGTACATGCATTTGAAATTTTTATTCTGCTAAACTGTCCTGTATAAGGGATTGTATCAGGTTTTTTGCTCACCAGTAATGGAAATTTTTGCTCACAAGTGCTTGTTCACTGCAAGTCTGTACATTGTTATTAAATTTCTGATCTTTTTCAACCTTAAAGATAAAAATTATTTTATGGTAACCTAATAATTTGGAATTATCTTACCATATTTCGTCAGTTGAAGACAACATCATTTGAAAGGTATACCATTATTTTATATACCTCTATCCCAGAAAAAGAGTTACAAAGTAAACTATGCTTTCAAATCATCCATTTTCAAATACATGAAAAGTTCTGATTTCAGGGCTGTGTGGGTGGCTCAGTCAGGTTAAATGTCTGACTTTGGCTCAGGTCATGATCTCAGGTTCTTGAGTTCAAGCCCACATCAGGCTCTCTAGAGCCTGCTTGGGATTCTGTCTCTGTGTGTGTCTTTCTCTCTACCCCTCCCCAGCTTGTGCTCTCTCTCAAAAATAAATAAACATTTTTAAAAGTTCAGATATCAGAAATAATCTCAGAGATGTGAAAATATGAACAGGTGCTTGTTAGAATCAGCAAGATATATGAGAAAGGCTGAGTACCTGAAAAGGATCTTTTTTAAATATGCAAGAATCAGAAATACAGTACACATGAATACTTCCCAGAACAAATAAAACAAAACAACTAAATTATTTGAAGCCACAATCGATACAACTAAAATGCCTTTATATTTATTTTTTAAGTTTGTTTATTTTGAGAGTAAGAGAGAGACAGCACAAGAAGGGAAGGAGCACAGAGAGGGAAAGAATCTCAAGCAGGCTCTGCACTGTATGTGCAGAGCCAGCTGTAGGGCTCAAACTGATAAATGCCAAGATCAAGACCTGAGCGGAAACTAAAAGTCGGACACTCAACCGACTGAGCCACCCAGGTGCCCTCACAACAAAAATGTATTTAAAAATGAAGACTTTATTGGGGCACCTGGCTGGCTCAGTTGGTTAAGCATCAGACTTTGATTCAGATCACTATCTCACTGTTCGTAAGTTCGAGCCCTGCATCAGATGAGCTTGAGCCCTGCTATGGTTGAGCACAAACCCTGCTTCAAGGGGCCCCCGCTTCTCTCTTTCCCCCCTCTCTGCCCCTTGGGATATTCTCTCTCCCTCTTTCTGCCTCTTGCTCACTTGTACCCACTCAGTATCTCAAAAAGATTAAATAATAAAAAAATTAAAATTGAAGAATTTTAAAATGGAGAAATGGTAAAAAGGGATTTAATTCAGTTAACTCTAAATGTGATTATAACAAAACAGAATTGTTATAATTATTAAAATAGGTGCATGTAAAATATAAGAAAAATTTGATAAAAATTATCTGTGATAAAAATTTCTGACCATACCATTAAAATGTTAGCAAAAAGTATGATAAATTAGTCATCATTCATGATAAAAAGGTATTTAATAAAATTTAGCATCCATTTTTTTAGTGTTTCAAGGGCACCTGGCTGGCTGAGTCCATAAAGCATAGGACTCTTGGTCTCAGGGTCGTGAGTTCAAGCCTCATGTTGCGCACAGAGCTTATTTTAAACAAATATTCTAGTAGCACCTGAGTGGCTCAGTCGGTTGGGTGACTGACTCATGATTTTGGCGAGGTCATGATTTCACGGTTTAGGAGTCTGAGCCCTGTATCAGACTCCATGCGAACATGCTTGGGATTCTCTGTCTCCCCCTCTCTCTGTCCCTCTCCTGCTTGTGCTCACCGTTGTCTCTCTCTCAAATAAATAAACATTTAAAAATAATAAAATAAGGGGCACCTGGGTGGCTCAGTCATTTAAGTGGCTGACTTCAGCTCAGGTCATGATCTCACGGTTCCTGAGTTCGAGCCCCGCGTCAGGCTCTGGGTTGAGCGCTAGGAGCCTGAAGCCTGCTTCAGATTCTGTCTCTCTCTCTCTCTCTCTCTGCTCTCCCCTGGTCACACTGTCTATCTCTCAAAAATAAATAAATGTTAAAAAACATTAAAATAATAAAATAAAATTCACTAGGAAAACAACCAGGAAAAAAATCTGGATAAGAGTAATAACAAGATTTTAAGCAATATCAGTTCAGTCAGTATTGTACTGGTCTTCCATTTCCACTTCAGAAAGTTGCAAGAGAAAATTAATTCCATCCTAACACTGAAAGTAAGTTAAATAACCTACAAAATTTAGTGTTTTCTGAAAGCACATAAGGGGGCTGAGGATGTAGGAAAGCTCATCATCTGAAAATCCAGAAAATGCTCAGTCCTACCCAGGACTGAAAAGATTCCTGGCTGCTCTCTTTGTGGGCAGAGCAGCAGGAAGAAGAGGAGGCTACTTCACAAAATAAAGAAGGGCAAAAGATAAGCAAACTGTATCTTTAAATCCTGAAAAAAAAAATTTGTCCACGAATTCTGTATCTAATAAAAATACCCTTCAAAAATGAAAGCAAAGTAAAATTTCAGATAGAAAAAGCTGAAAGAATTTATGCCACAGTGACCTGCACTACAAAAAAAATATTTTTTAGAGTTAAAAAATAACACATAGAAACTCAATTCTACAGGAAGCAAGAGAGAACTCAAACAGGGTAAATATGTTGATAAATACAAAGGAATTTTTAAACATTACATATATACATACATCTTTAAATTTCACTAAAAGATTGATTCTTTATATTTGTAAGAAAATAGAACACATGTAGAAGTAATATATGTAAGAGCACAAAAGGTGAGATGGTAATTACAAGTATGAATGGTAATATTCTTACACTGTTCATAAAATACTAAAATAGATATGAAAATAAGCTATGACAAATTTAAGATACATATGAAACCTCTAGTACCACCAATAAAAAAATAACATGAAGAAACAAAACTAAAAAGACAGGAAAAGAAATATTTTTCTAAAAACTCAATTCACCCAAAAAGGAGGCAGGGAAGAGGACTAAAGAATGAGAAAATGGAAAAAGAATACCAATGTACTTAATCCAAACACATAAAAAAGTTACAAAAATAAAAAATGAACTATATACATTATTAAAACACAAAAGTTATTGTGAGATTGGATAAACAACTACAACCCAACTGTATATAGTTTATAACACACTTTAAACATAAATACACAGATGTGTTAAAAGGAAAAAGCAAGAGGCAAACATTAAGCTTGTATTAATGTCAGAACAGGCTTCCATGTAAAAAGTATTTTCAGGGATAGAAGGGACATTTAATAACAATACAAGGGTTAATCTGTCAAAAGGACACAGCTATCTTAAATGTGTATGTGACTAATAACACTACCAAATATTAAAAAAAAAAAACCCAAACCCTGACAACTGAAGGGAGAAATAGACAAGTCTACAATCAGTTAATCATAACTAAAGACTTAACACTTCTCCCAGAATAACTGACAGAATAAACATTAAAAATGTGAAGATAAAAGGTTTAAGCACCACTCTCAACCAGCCTGACCTGACATTTAGACTATTCTACCCACCACCAGCAGAATACACATTTTTCCCCAAGTGCAAAGGAACACTCACCAAGACAGACCATACGTTAGACAAGGGAAAAATTCTAAATAAATTTAAAGGTATTGAAATAATACATGTTTTCTGAACACAACATTGGTAATTAGAAAACAGCAATGATTTACCTTAAAAAATTCCGTTTGGAAATAAAATAGCACACCTAAATAAATAAGGGATCAAAGAATTCACATTTAAAAATTTTTAAACTAAATGATAATAAAAATATCCCATATTTGTGGGACGTAGCTAAAGCATGGTTAGAGGAAAACTTATAGCTTTAAATGCTTACATAAAAAGAAAAAAGTATTAAACAATTTATGCCTCCACCTTAATAAGTTAGAAAAAGATGAGCAAATCAAACCCAAAGTAAAGGGAAAAAAATGAAAACAGTGAAATTTGTGAAATAGAAAACAGCAAATAGAGAAATTTAAAAAGTCAAATATGTGAAACACAGGACATACAACACGATAAAATCATGAAGTTTGACAGTGTAGTAAAAAAAATTATATTATCTGTTTTATATCTGATATTTATTTTTTGATATTTGGTACTAGTTCAGTCACTAGTATAAATTTTATTAATTGCTTTATAATAAGTATTTCTAATAAAAATGTGGCTTCCTAGTTTTTCCACCAGTCTCATGTTTGCAGCTTTCACACTTCGGACTGGTTATTTCTGAGTACCCATTTAACTCCAAAATTATAATGATTTGTCTAGCAATCAGAATTACTGATAATTAGGGGCGCCTGGGTGGCTTAGTCGGTTGAGCGTCCGACTTTCGCTTAGGTCATGATCTCGCGGTTCGTGGGTTCGAGCCCCGCGTCGGGCTCTGTGCTGACTGCCAGCTCAGAGCCTGGAGCCTGTTTCAGTCTGTGACTCCCTCTCTCTCTGACCCTCCCCTGCTCACGCTGTCTCTCTCTCTCTCTCTCCTAGAAATAAATAAAAAAAACATTAAAAAAAAAAAAAAAAAAAAAAAAAAGAATTACTGATAATTAGAATAATGTCTTGCAGATAGCTGTTTCAATGGCTAGATGCACGATCGTTCTGCGCTATTAAATACAGACATTTCAAAGAATACTGGTAATGACGGGCACAAACATAAAACGATTAAAATTTTTCATCATATAAAATATATACATACCATTAGATGTTTATTTGGTCAATAAATGCGTAATTGACCTATTAAAGGATGAAGCACCTCTGGCTATTCCATACTGATGTTAAGATGATGAAAGTAATATCGCCTTACAGTACGTTGCCTAAGTCTAAACTAAATAAACCAATACATAAATGCTTAAAGAAAATCGAAAACCATGGGCAAACGTGATCTTCCCAATAAGCGATTTCACAGTGACCCACTGTTTACAACAGCTTTAATGCTCTGTGCATTAACATCATCTATTACATGAAAAATAATCCCACCCCCTCTACTGGCAAACCCACAGCATCGCGGGTTCGTTGCCAGGTCGGATTTTTCCCCCTCTCCATCTTAGATCTCAGAGCATCAGGTATCTGACCACTGACATCATTTGGGCACCCGACCAGGTGATCCGCGTTTCCAAGAGCCGGATAGGTGCACGGGGCTGGGTTCACGGCCTCAGGCCACAGGATTTGTGAGCGGAACCCCACGGGAGGTCTAGCATTCCGCAGTTCGCCTTACGCCGCACATTTTCTTGTTTTGTTTTTACCAAACGCTTGCCACTTCGTTTCTAAAGAAGGCATTTCCATCACAGAATAATGACATAAAAACAAGCACAAAAGAAAAGAGAGGTCAGCAGGAAAGCACCTAAATGCCGTGAACACCTGCCTCTAATGGAAGCGATCTCCACCTCCCAGAGAAATCACCCAAATAAGCCTCAGGCTGCCGCGCACGTTCACTACCCCGGCCGGCGTGAAGGGAAGCTCCCTTCGCCCGGAGAGGACCCAGCCTCGCCGGAAACCACTCCTTGCAGGTTCTGCCTCCGGGAGCGCGGACCGGGACCGCGGACCAGGACCTCGTCTCGGAGGGAGGCCGCAGGGGACGGCGAGGCCCCGAGAGACAGCGTGTGCGCGTGGCGGGCGCCTCCACCTCAGGGCGTCGCCACGGGAACCAAGGGCTTGGTTGGCCTCCGGCCCGGCAGGCCCGGAGACGGCGCGGCCTGACCGCCGCTGGGAGGCCGCAGACTCTCACCGCGACGGTGGAACCGCGACGCGCGGGTCCTCCGCCACCTCGGGTCGCGTTTGGTTGCGCGGAGGTCCGTCACGACACCCGTTCCCGCTGCCGCCACCCGCGAGCCCCGCGACGCCGCCGGGCCACTCCCGCAGCCCGTGCACCTCCGCACCCGTGCGTGGAGGTGTCGGGCTCCGGCTGCGGGAGGCGGGAGATTTAAACCCGGCGGCCTGGCGCGCGCGGAAGCCGCGCTGCCCTCGGCGTCTCGGCACGGCGTCCGCGTTCTCGCCCTTTCCGGCTCTACCCAAACCCCAGCGAGGCCCCGATCTCGGTCCGTTTATTTGATTAACTCCAGGACCCTTTCTGTTTTCCTGTACCAAATTCCAGTTTACTAACAAACACCGAACCGGTCAGAACATCGGAATTAAACTGCTTGTGACATCTCTGAGGCCGTCCCTGTTCCTTTAATAAGCCTGGGTCCCTCCCTGCTTCCTCTACCAGGCTCTACGCTTCTGAGCCTCAGTCATTCCTGAATCGGGGCGCTTCTCCGTACCAGTGCCGGCACGCGGTAACTGTTCACGGGCTTTATTTAACTCTTGAAGGTTTAAATATGATTAAGTTAACAGCTGTTAATAACTGACTTCAAATACCATACACATAACCAAAATTTGTCATAAATGAGTCTTCAAGAGTAAAAGGCAAGATTTGAACCTAAAAACTAAAGAAAAAAATTGGCAACAAGGCAAGAGTAAATTGTTACTAGTGGAAGACAGTCTAAATTCAAAGTGCTTTCTTTTTAAAGGTGACCCAAAAAAATCCTTACTAACTTTTCTAAAGCTTTACTAAGTATGAAGTAGAACTGTGACATAGCCTAGTGAGGAAAAAAGCTTACACGCCAGGTGATAACTAAACTCTGTAAGATCATGAAAGATGGAGTGAGATTCTAGAATACTATTACCAAGTACTTACCTTAAAAACCAGAAAGAAGTAGTTTTAGAATAGGAGAATAGGCTGTTTATATTAGAGTTAATTTGCACTGAAGGAAAAAAAAAAAAAGATATCTTTAGACCAGGGATTCTTACTCTGAGATATATGGGGTTTCAAGGAACAGGTGATACCTGAAATAATAAGCAAGATTTTGGTATCAGTCTTTTTTCCCTCTTATGTTGGAAATGTAACCAAACCCAAATTCCATTGCCCAAAGCACAGCAAAGCCAATCACCAAGACATCGTGTATGCAAGGAAAGGGTTTATTCCAGAGGCAGCCAAAGAAAGAGATAAAAGGGCAAGCTTCAAATCTTACTCCTAGAAGGGAGAGAGAACAAGATTTTATAATCATAGGGGCTGATTACATATAGATAGATAAAAAGGGTGGGGAAATTTATGGTAATTCATGAGGAAAGATGGGGCATGCACATTGAGCAAACATAATGTAACATACATCCCACATTCATTTTGATGTAGAGATTTGAAATGAGGCAAAATTCATCCCCTACTGTCAGGTCATCTTAGAACACAGAAAGGGGCTTTGGCATGTTCCTAGAGAGCCTAGATAAAAAAGGATGGGGTCGTGGGTTCATTTTCTAGGGTAAGGAAAACGGCCTTGCTGTTCATAGGCTGGAACCATATCAGTGACTTTTTAGCCCAGGTCTCTCTAGTGGATTTGTTAGTGGCATCTGAAAACAAACAACAGCTGATTATGGAGAAACAGGCCTCTGAAAAACAAGCTTTAGATTTCCCGTTAGTTTCAACCTCATTTACCCCATGGGGCAGCAACCTCAGAGAGTCCACAGCTTTCTTCAGAATCTCAGTGTATAAGCATTTGGCAACGAGGATAACTGCTGTACTTCCTCAGATCTTTCCTGACTTGTGCTAAATTTAGCATCCCTCCTAAGGACATGCCTCTGCTCTCAATAATTGCAATTCTTTGTCTGTCTTCCCCATTGGATCCTGAGCTCCTCCAAGGTACACTTAACGCTTTTCAGTAGCTTTATCTCCTTTAACACTGTGCCTAATAACTACTGCATTCTGAATGTTTATTCAATCAATAAATGAACAAACGCACAGACAGCTGACAACTGAAGGATATTGTATAAAATATCTGAAAGGAACTGAATACTTTTCTTCCCAAAGAATAAATTATTCTATTAGGATAAGCAAAATGACTTTCAGAATGTTATCATGCACCATATGTTAAGTACTTGAGATATTTTAGAAAATGTTTGTTCCAAACAGGATGAATTTTAGTTTAAGAGGATAATAAACTAAGTTTCTCCAGTCCAATCTGAAGCAGAGAAAGGCCCTCCAAGAAATATACTAGAAAGTCAGAGAAGTTATGTTATCTTTTTGGAGGTAGTGTCCATATCTTATACATTTTCTTGTCCCCCCGCCCCTTTTCTCTATTCCCAAAGAAACCCTAATACACGTTAGAAGTTCAGCCTTTTTCTTTGAACTGACAATTAGGTATACTTTGAGTCTAACTTTTAGTTTTAGGTAGTTTAAACAGTAAGAAAGGAATTTCTTAAAACTTTGATGAGGTTTAAGAGCAAGTATCAACATGTTTATGAACCTCATTACTATGCCAAGACCGCATAAATAATCCTCTATCAGTCAGCATGTCCTGAGCACTGCACTGTCTCATTTCTAACTTCATCCAGCACTAGGAAAGAAGCAACACTCATTTTCCATGAGAATCTTAGGAGCATTTAAATCCATACAAAGCCCTTGTCTCTGGTATAGCTAAGAGGAAAATGGACCATTGAAAGGGACACTCCTACTTTCGAGGAAAGGGGTAGGAGAGCAATATAAGAGGACTGAGTCTTCTGGGCTTCTGTTGGACTCTCATATTTTTCCTGTTTAAGATCTAACCACATGAGTTATACAAGGAGAGAAATTTGGCAGAGATTGATTGGATAATCCTTCTCCCAGAGACTGGATCACTAATGTTATGCCCATCCCAAGGGAGAGTGCCTGAACCATGAATGTATCCTGCCTTGGAATCAGGGTCAGTTCTAAAAAATCTAATTTATAGGTCTCTTTACCTTTACTTCAGCCACCTCGTATAGGCGTAGTACAACTGAAAAGCCCAGATTGGGGGAGTTAAGAAAGACATTTAAATAACTCTGTCCTTGGCTCATTCAGAGACCATCCAAAACAAGAATATAAATTCTTTGTCCTGTAAAAGTTAGATTTCCAGATACCATAGATATGATGAATTTTATACCAGGCTGCACTACATGAGAAAAATAGATTATGTATTTTCTGGCTAACTTTATTCACTTTTTAAGCATTAAAATATACTTTCAAGAAATGATTTAACAACTGTAGCTCTTGCTCTTGTGTGAAAATGAGGACCATATCCTAGGGAGAGAGGGAGCATGGGTCCCTGAGTGTAGAACAAAACCACTCTCCCAGCCCTGGACTGCCTCTGATTTCAACTTATGAGAGAACTAAACTCCTAACTGGTTTAATCCATTGTTAATTTTGTTCTCAATTGCAGCCAAGTATTATTTCCTAGACCCCTGTTGATAGGAACATTTTGTGAGATATACTGTGTTACAGTCTTGTGATGAGACCAAACTTATTTTCCATATTATTACTTAGAGGCTATAGTGCTCTGCTTGAGACATACCAATCCATTAAAGATGGAAATCATACTTTAAGAAGACATTTACCTTAAATATTTAGTATATGATAAATACATTAAGATAAATGCTAATAATATATAACTTATAGAATGTTTATTATCTAATACTGACTGAAAGATTTTGTCTAAAAATTTTATTCTTTTTAAATTTTTTTTAATGTTTTATTTATTTCTGAGAGAGAGAGAGAAAGTGTGAGCAGGGGAAGGTCAGAGAGGGAGACAGAATGGGAAGCAGGCTCCAGGCTCTGAGCTAGCTGTCAGCACAGAACCTGATGCAGGGCTTGAACCCACAAAACGTGAGATCATGACCTGAGCTGAAGTTGGACATTTAACCAACTGAGCCACCCAGGCGCCCCTAAAAAATTCTATTCTTACCTACATACGAGGATAGGTTAGGGAGAAAGATTCCTGGTTATCATGAAATCTGTATGTAATATCTTTTAAAAACAATTTTTTTAATGTTCATTCATTTTTGAGAGACAGAGCATGAGCAGGGGAGGGGCTGAGAGGGAGTCACAGAATCTGAAGCAGGCTCCAGCCTACAAGATGTCAGCATAGAACCTGACACAGGGCTTGAACTCATGAACTGCGAGATCCTTTTTTTTTAATGTTTTATTTATTTCTAAGAGAGAGAGAGAGAGACAGAGACAGAGACAGAGACAGAGAGAGCGCACGTGAGCAGGGGAGGGTCAGAGAGAGAGGGAGACACAGAATCCGAAACAGCCTCCAGGCTCTGAGCTAGCTATCAGCACAGAGCCCGATGTGGGGCTCGAACCCACGAACCATGAGATCATGACGTGAGCCGAAGTTGGACATTTAACCGACTGAGCCACCCAGGTGCCCCTGTATGTATGTAATTTCTAAAGCATTCTGACATACCTTTTTTTTTTTTTAAAAAAGTAGGCTCCAGACCCAAAACGGGGCTCAAACTTCTGAGGTCCACACTCTGAGATCAAGAGTTGCACACTCTACTGACCAAGCCAGCCAGGAGCCCCAGGATTCTAACATATCTTTAATACAAAGCACTTCACTTAAAATACTTCAGCAAACTCTTAATTGGCAGAATCTACATGTTTTAATGTTGAATGCCCACAAAATCTTATGATAAGTAGACATCACTTATTTTACCCAAAGCAAAGAGTATTTTTAGTTTTTTCTCTATTAGAATTTATTAGTTTTCTTAAGATACTTTTCTTAAGCAGCTAACACAGGAATTACTTAAGTTTCCCCAAATAAAAATCTGGACAATTACTTTATTTTTAATATATGCTTTTACCACATTTCGAAAGCAAATCTTAATTCAAACCAATACCTCTAAAAGGAAATAAAAAACTCAGTTTAGTTTCAAGAGTTTGCATATGGCTGAGAAGGCAGGTCACATTTTATATTTTAACAACACAAACTACTATATAATAAATACAAAATAAAGAAATAGACAG